ATGGGGGCAGGGGATGAGAGGAAGGAGAGAGAAGGTGACCTGGATGGGGGGGACCCCCAGATACCACCTCTCACCAACCACCACTGAGACTTGGGGATACCACTCAGCTGCCACAGGGAAGGTTTAGCGGAGATGTGACTTCTCCGTCCTGAGGAACATGTTTTAGAAAGAAGCGTGCTCATCCAGGCATTGTTCTGGGATTAAAGGGTGTGTTGGAGGTGACAGATTTTTCACTTAAATATAAGATTTTTCTGCCCTGGCTGGTGTGGCTCAGTGGATTGAGTGTTGGCCTGCAAACCAAAGGGTCGCCGGTTCTATTCCCAGTGTAGGGCACATGCCTGGGTCGCTGGCGAGGTCCCCAGTGGGGGAGATGTGTGAGAGGCAACCACACACTGATATTTCTCTCCCTCTCTTTCTCCCTTCCTTTCCTTCTCCAAAAATAAATAAAATATTTTAAGAAAAGATTTTTCTTAGATTAATTTTAAAATCAGTTGCCTTAACAATAGTAAACTATGATTATCAGTCATGTCTACAGAATAGGGGATGCCTGCTTTAGAGGGAAATTGAACATGACAATTCTTAAGGCCTCATTTCCATCTGGTTTTTCTTGAGTGGAATATTGTTACACTAGACTTTAGTTAGGGGGGTAAGATACTCAGTATTCTTACGACAATGAGATTTGTCCTCAGGTAAAAGTATGTTTCTCACTGAAAATAATTCACAGAAACTTGGGACGTTGGAGTTGGAAGCATCTGAGTCAACTTTACCTTATGGACCACCGACCTCAGTTCTGTCATCCCACAGGCTTGCTGCAAGATTTAAATGAAATAACCTACCTGACACACAGAAAATGACAAGTGGCAACGGCTGCTCTGATTGACCCTCCTAAGGGAGGGGAGGAAGTGGAAGAGAATGTTCAAAGTGGCGAAAGAGGGTTAAGAGGTAAAAGGTCATGAGGTAAAAATAAGCCCTGACTCATCCCTAGAAGAGTAGTGGTAATTTCTACACTGAACAGGTAAGGGAGAGATGGAACTAGGTGACAATGTATCAGTTTGTTGCAGTTGTTTCTGTTTAATTACACAAACGTTCTCACCCCAGTCAGAGGGAACTCTGGGTCTTGGCCCAGTTTGGCTCCAACCCACCCTATCATTCAACTCTCTGTCCAGCTTCTAAAGCAGAGGTGCATCGGTGCCACCTGTCAACCAGGAAGAGACTGTTTCTGACTTCAGAGGAGCTAATTTCCAGACCTTCAGACTGTTTCTGGGCTCTCCACGGGGGACAGTATCGAGAATTAGGACAGAAACAGTAGCAAAGACAAAAAGGTGACAAAAAGTGGACGAAGAGCCACAGCACTGCATTCAGGAGGTTCCAGCAGACAACAGAAAACAGAGTCACACTCAGACAGCCTAAGTCACTGGTGCAAAGTAGGCCAAAGCTCTCCCTGACCCTCAGTCACAGGCCTCAAGAAGTGGGGTGATGATGAAACCAGGGCAAGAGATAAACAACTCCAGCTGCACATCAGCGATGCTTTGTGTTTTGTCTTCTCTCCCTTCTCTCCCTCTACTCCTTGGCCAAACTCCAGCAGGAGGCATTTTATGACCTAATGACAGGACCGCTAAAGGATGAGGAAACTAATAATTATAATAATAATGGGAGTTGACATTTATTGAGTGTTACTCCCCTTGCACTGTCCCTGGATCATCTCATTTAATCCTACCCATAATTCTACACAGCAGGTACCAGTATTATAGCACTGATTCCTGGAGAGAAGCACTTTGCTCAAGGCCTCGGAGCTGCCAAGATAGAAACCCAAGGGCTTGGGACCCCAAACCCTCCTATCCTGCCTGCAAAGGCGGTCTTGGGGGTAGGCTTCCTAGCACAGAGGTGTGGCTGTAAATGTTTCAGTTTTAGAACTGGATCTTGCACTGGGTGATCTCCCCAAGATTCCAATGAAGAACCTTTGTTTCCTCTTTGGAATTACTTAAGAAGTCGTGTGTGTGTGTGTGTGTGTGTGTGTGTGTGTGTGTTCTCTTTTTGTTGTTTTTTCTGAGTCACCGGAGCCATAAAGAGTCATGCAGATTAGGAAATCGGCTCCCAGCATTCCCAGCAGCCTGCAGCATAGGCAGGGCTGGGCTGGATGGCGGGGTGCCCCCTGGAGCCTCCTCCCTGACCTGTCTAGAGGAAAGGCGGTGCCAAAGGACAAGACAAGGACATGTTACACAACCCGTTTAATTTCCCTCACATGTCCTTTCTGGCTGAAGTTCCCTGGCAAGTCAGCTAGATTCCGTCTTCAGGTATTTGTACTGCAATTATCATTCACACTCAAGGTGAGTGTTACAGCCATCTTGGAGCTAGGAGCTTAGACCTGACACCTTGACTTACACAAGCATTCTGAGCTACTTCAAAAGCCCAAGTTTAACATTTGCTTAAATCACCTTCATATTCCTGCCATAAGGCGCACATCTGGAAAGGCAGATCTCTCTCTTGGGAATCTGTTTCAAAATTAGTAAAAGGCCGAAGTCCCTTAGGGAATATGATTCAGCAAGTCTAGCTTCTGAATTCTGAAGTGGGAATTCGGATGCAAGTGGCTTTGGACTCCATTTTAAGAAACATTATTTAAAATGTAACATCTAATCTTGTGACAGATATTTCATTCCACTTTCTATTCTTTTGGAATTTATCTTTCCAGTCTCTACCTCAGATCTGAAGTTAAATTCTAAAAGGCAGGGACTGTGTCCAGCGGTGTCTGCATCCCTGAAAAGGCCACAAACCCTGCACAAGGCAAGCACTCAATGTCTACTGGCCAGGGCTGAACACGCAATGAGCCCCTAAATTCCCGAATCTCTGGCAAGGTCATGATCCTCTCTCTAGGACCAAAGTGGCTCTGCACCCACAGCAGCTGCAAGGAAGCCAACAACTGTTCCTATCTGATCCCATAATTAATGGAGCCAGGCAGCCAGCCCAAACCATCCGCAAGGCACATTTCTCAATTGCCCTGCTCCAGTGTCATTAGCCAAGTTCTACTGCACTTCCTTGGGCTGGAGTGGGCCAAGAAAACAGTCAAGTACAGAGTGAAGCTGTGGGCAGGCAGCCAAGTCCCAGCAAAAGCGGCAGAAGGCTCACTTCACTACTACTGACCCAGGCCCAAATCCAGCTTGGCAAAGCTGTGCTACTTCCACTGTACCTTGCAAGTTAGGAAAAGGGGCTGTCACCTGTGGTTCTGTGGCCTCTTACACAAGAGGAAACTAACATTAAAGGAACACGTGCTAAGTGGGTGCTTCTCTAGTCCCACGGCCAGCAGGGCAGCTGACATCTCACTCTAGTGACCTTGGGGTAAAATTTGGCAAAGCCAAGCTGCAAGTCCAAATGAATCTCTGTGGTAGATGGATACCAACTCCAATAATTGTTGTACAGAACACTGTTGTTTCCAGACAAGTGTATAATACCCTAGTGTTTGCGGGGCAGAGAGGGGAAGGGATCTATTTAAACATTCATTTGCATCTGATGGAATCCCTCCGGGAAGGGCAGAAAAAACTGATTAACACGAGTTTTCCTCCAGGACACAAGTTTGGGTAGGAGGTGGTTCACGGTTTTTTGTTTTGTTTTGTTTGTTGGTACGTAAAGGTGTCTTAATAATGTGAATATATTACCTAAACAAGGGTAATTACATTTGAAAAATTAGTTTTCAGACACTCAGTATTTACTCATCATATGCCAGACACTAGGAGAGATGCTGTTCTCAAGAGCTGGATGAGGAGTAGAAACTATCATATACAAATCATTCCCTTGCAGTGATAGGTCAGCAACAGGGGAGGATATACAGAGGGGCCTCTGGACTCGCAGGGATGGGAAAGTGAAAAAACCAGTTAAGGTATAATACCTCCTAGAAGTATTATACGGTCCGGACCAAGTCTCAAAGAGAAAGACGAACGCCAAGTAGCCAGTACCAATTGCTGCTAAGCTCCTAGAAGCCTGAACGGTGATGAGTGTCGGGCCACAGGAACACAAAAACACTGAATGGACAACACTCAACATGCTACAGCAGGGGCAAAGGGAGAAAAACGGGGACAACTGCAATAGCATAAACAACAATAATAATTTTAAAAACCCATTAAGAAAATTCTACACCGGTCCCTCAAATGTGAGGAAAATAGTGCATGGTAATGAGGAAAAACAAAAAATCAGATTCTACACTGCACTCGGTTCCCTATAACCGCTCACCCAAACACATCGGAGAATCCCATTGTGCGAGTTTAATAAAAGTAACTAAAAGAGCAAACATTTATAGAGTGCGTAGAAGAGCGCCTGGCTGAAAGCGCTTTATAAGTGTTAAAAGTCAAATAAAGCGTGGCAGAGACGCAAAGCTTCGCAAACATCTCCCCAGAGAACTCTCAACGCCCTTTGATTACTCTGGGAGACAGGCCGGTTGGAAGTTGGGTTTTCTTCCCGATACAACGTTACCAGGATACTACGTGTAACAACTACCAAGGGGAGACCCGCAGTTTTGAAGGGCAGCGCCGTCCCGCCCGCGACCTGGGTAAGCAAGAGCCCTTTTTAGCCCTCTCTGCCTTTTCTCCTCATTACCGAAACTACAGTAAGACTATCCAAGCCTCTTTCAATTCCTCAACCCAGGCGATCCGCCGAGAATGGAGAATGCCCTTAGGATGTTGCGCATAACACCCAGGCGTGGAAAGCAGGTGGCCTTCGTGCGCCTGTCGCGCGGTGACTTGAGCGCAGACAGGTGCCCGCGGGCGCGCAGACCTGCTCTCCGCGCGCCTCACCGCGAGCACGCGGGCCCAGAGCCTCTAGAGTGAGCGCCTAGCCCCGGACTCCCCGGGTGCACGGTGCGTGGTGCCCAGCCCGGCCCCGAGGTCGCCCGCCCCGCCTCCATGCGTGCGGTGCGCGGTGCCCACGCTGTGGCGGGGACGCGCCGTCGTAGCACGCCCCGGAGAGAGGCTTCCTGGAGGCGGATCCCGTGCCGCCGGCCCGCCGCCGCTCACCAGTTCCCCGAGCCCACGATGCACACTTTCAGGGGCGACGGTGCCATGACAAGACAGAAACGCAGCAGCCCAACGCGTGTCTCTCCAGCTGGCCGCTGGCCTCCTCCCGCTCAGCCAGACCCGCAGCAGATCCCGAGGACCCCGCCCCTCCCGCCTCTCGGCCAATGGCCGCGGTCACCCCCACCCAGGCGCACCCGGCCACAGCGGACAGCCCGGGAGGACCCGCCCTGCCACTCCCGAGAATCACTGCGCAGGCCTGGGCCTGGCGGCCCTCCCGGCACGGCCGCCGCACCCCCGCACCCTTTCCCGAGGCATGCCGGGACGTGTAGTCCGTGCGCCCTGGGGCGGCGGGCTGAGCGAGACTGCCCCGCCCACCACGCCACGTGCAGCCGCAGGGGGTTGCGCGGCGACGGTGGCTCCGGGCGAGGGAGGCTACACAGCAGCGCGTCGGCACAGCAGGTCCCGTTTGTCTCGCCGGCTCACCGCTGCCGCAGTGCCCTCCTACCCAAGCGGGAAGAGCTGCCACACTGCAGTCTGGATCAGAGAAATCCCAGAATGACTCTAGAGTCCACCAGGCTTGGGCCAGAGCTTGAAGTCTCCGCACCTGTCTTTTCAGCCTCTGCCTCACGTGTTAGAAGCAAGACAGCCTGGCACCCCTAAACTTCTTCATGAGCTTATAATGTCTGAGGCCTCCTGGACTTGGCTGGACAGCACCTGCGCTTCCGTGTGGACACTAAAGAGAGTTAGAGTCCAGAGAGATCTGGGCGCGGGTGGCATCGCCCACCACCATTTGCTCAGCAGGACCTGCCTTCTGGTTATCTCTGTGCCAGGGCAACAGGAGAGTTTGTGATTGTGATACTACGCTTCCTTCTTTTCTGAAAATTAGAACTTTATTTATTCATTTTGAGCGTCACTCTCTACCCGGCACCTTGCTCGGCACCGTGGGAGGAGGACAAAGTGGTTTAAACAAGCGGTGCTCAGACTCTGCTGCTTATTAGTCTCTGGAGCCTTTAAAAACTCCCCTGTGGAGGCGCCACCGCAGGCCAGTTACGTAAGAATCTCCCGGGATGGGATACAAGAATTGGACTTTGTTTAAATTTCAAGAGGTGACTGCAAAAGGCAGTCAAAATTGAGAACCAGAAAACTAACACAAGCAGAGACTGGCTAAAGAAACATACTCTAGTACCTAGGAAAATACTAGGCCTATTAATTTGATGCCCAGGAGGTTAACTGTTATCTATTTTTTTCATCTCTACATTGTATGAAAGATTTATCTATGTTATGTTGATATTTACTCAGAGGAATACTTAAAGAGTGAATGAGACAGGTCATTCTGTCCATTCTCTCACAGATGGTTTTCTCTCAGTTATTGGCACTAATGGAGAGATACCAAAGCAGGGATGATAGGAAAAGTAGAAATGGACTATTCAAGCTTTATTCATTGGTATCTTACATGTGTGTTACGAAATGGGGTTGTCACATTAAATAGTGAACTTAAGTACTTGAAGAGTGTACATGCATTACAAAGATTTTCAGCAAGCCATCGATTCATATTCAGCCTTTGCCTAAAAGATTTATACATCATATGGAGACTCCTATTCTCCAATGTTGCAACTACACATGCATGATAGTGAACTACCCAACTATTCTGTGGACACACAGCCTCATTGGATGGAGTTTATGGATATCCTGATATAATCACATGATATACACGACACAATGTTCCATAATACACAGAATGAGTAGTCATTTATTTTATAGACTCGTTACAAAGATTAACACAAAACCCAAAGAGGTGAAGAGGGGAGAATTTCCGATGCATTCAGGTCAGATTAACTTGTGAAGGCTTGTTTGTTTTATGTTTTTGTTTTATTTTTTTAAAAAAGGATTTCTCGCACGCTAAATCTGGTTGACAGTATCAATATTAATAATAGTAATGGACTTAAACCCTTTGAATAAAATAACAGTTCATGAGTTGATGTGATTTAAAGAAATAAGTGAACGAATAAACGAGGCAGAGAGAAAGCTCTTTCTTATAGGAGAATGCCAACTAAAATACAAGTATGGAAGGAACGATGGTGCTACCTTAGCATCAATGAATGCTCAAAATAAAGGTGAAAGTTTGATGAAGATATTTACCTGGCCTCAAAGTCTGCACACAAATTACCTGCAGGGATAAAAGAGTTACTGTGACAAAGAGTTTTTAGAGAAAAGACACCACCTTAACCAAATGGTCAAAGTCAGCATTACCAGTGATGGGACAAACCAACACACATGCCTTCTTTAACTGGAATGAAAAGGTATTTAATTAATATGGACTTGTTGAAAACAGTATTTTAAAATAGTGCCCAAACCTTGGGATTATAAAGATTAAAAATATTTGTACTTAGCCATGGCCAGGCAGCTCAGCTGGTTGGAGTTCCAATATGCCAAGGTTGTAGGGCACATATAAGAATCAACCAATGGATGGCATAAGTGGAACAACAGATCAATGTTTCTCTTTCTCCTTTCTCTCTCTCTATAAAAATCAATAAATTTAAAAATTTTAAAAATATATACTTGGTCTTGTTTTCAAGCCTGACATAGAATTGTCAACTTTCAAATTTTTCCATGTAAACACAGAAACAGTGCCATATACAATTCCCCTTTCAACTTATTTATAATACTTCATCTTACTCATTTTAATTTAATTAATTTGGGTTTAAAAAAAAAACAACGCATTATCCTGATTCAATATCCAAAAGCATCAAAGGGGCATATAGTAAAATTCTCCCTCCCTCCATTTTCCTGCAGCTCCCCAGTTTCCTCCCTTGAAGAAACTCTTTCTTGTGTATACACATTGTTCTGTTACTTGCTTCTCCCCTTAACATTATTTCGCATGAAAAATGTCAGTCAATACCAAAAACATGAATATACGCAGTGAAAACTTAAAGTGAAAATGAAAAGAATACATTTAGCCTTTGGAAAACTCTCCCACAAAGTCTTTCTTATTTTCGTGTCTCTGTGGAACTGAAAATTTTTTCGCAGGCTGGTATTGGTTAAATTCATCCCTCCAATTCCAGGGAAGACTTACACCTGGACCACCCTAGAGGAACGTAGCTACTCTGCCCTCATAGTACAGATTTCACCACTTTGCTTCCTAATTTCACGCTGCACAATCCCCAGTGGTGACATTTGTTCATGGTACAACTGACTTCAAATGAAATTGCCCAGTTTCAATACTGCTGTTGACAATCTAATGAGAAAGTACAGATTTTTGGCTGAAGAAAACAGTGCCTCATTCTGGAAACATATATGGGCTTTTACCTTACTTCCTTGGAGAAAGAGACATAATAGATAAAAGGCAGATTTTGCTGCTTGCAAGAACCAAATAGAGCCCCAGACACTTAGCAGAAGCAGGTGTCAACTGTAATCTGCTCTTATCAAAGTTTATTAAATTATCAAAGGGGTTGTGTGCCAGGTTTTATCCAATAACTGTACCTTTTCACCAGCCCCTTATATTGGGGTAGTGTGAGGATTGGTTATTTCTTCTAAAGATCACACTACTATAAGCTACCTCGAATTTAGCTACCCGCTCTTAGCCAAGCCCTGGATATTATTATTGATTACATCTATAGCATCAGGCTGCTTGGATCACTAGGAGAACTTGGATGTTTTAAAGATGAAATTACCAGACTTAGTATTGTACCTTACCAAAGAAAGGCAGAGATATTTATTCAGTTTCTACTTGATTAAAAATCAAGTGTTAACCCTGACACGTAGCTCAGTAGGTTGGGCATCGTCCCTCAGATCGAAAGGTTGCTGGTTTGATTCCCAGTCAGGGCACATGTCTGGGTCGAAGGCCAGGTCCCTGGGTGGGGGTGTGCGAGAGGCAACCAATCGATGTTTCTCTTGGACATTGACACTTCTCTCCCTGTCTTTCTCCCTCATTTCCCCCTCTCTAAAAATGTATAAATAAAATCTTTTAAAAAATCAAATTTTAACCTGGACTTGGTCCTAGATTTGAGTCTTGTTCATTTGCTTATTCAACAGGTCTTCACTGAAGTCCTACCATGAGCCAGGAGCTGAAGATACAATGTTGAAGAGAAGAGACAAGTTTACAGTCCAGAAAGGAGGTCAGATAAGGAAACAAGTGTCTTCCACAGAGCCCAGACCCATGCTGCTCTGATAAGAGGCTGTGGACTCTGGGGATAGATGTGAGGAATACCAACCCGGGCCCAGAGTGGCAGGTAAGACTTTGGGGAAGACGGATGTCTGCACTGCCGGATGAATAGGAATCAAATGGAGGAAAAGTGTGTGAGGCAGAGAGAACACTGTGCATGAAAGCTTAGAGGCAAAAGAAAAATAGCCATTGGTCCCTTTGAGAACCTGGAAGTTCAGTAAGTTGGAGGCCAGAGCAAGAGGTAAAGCTAGATGAGGCAGGTGGGCAGAGACCAGATGATGGAGGTTCTATTGCAGGGTTGGGATTTGATGTTGAAGGCAATGGGGGGACACTGAAATGTTTAGGCTGATAAGTGATGGGATCATATTTGTCTTTTAAAAGATCACTGTAGTTGCAGCAAAGAGGATGTCCTGGGACGGGCAAAACTAGAAGCAACAAGAACAGTTAGGAAAGCTGTGGGTTGCTACAGTCCAGGCAGCAGCGATGGAGAGGAATGGAGCAGTGCCAGGGAGGACCTACAGGACCTGGCATTTGAAGGGGTGAGGGCGAGGAAAGAGTCCAGGGTGACTTCTGGATTTCTGGCTTGGACAGTGGGTGGTGGTGGACAAGGGGTGTTTTCGAAGCAGAACTTGCCTTTCTTGGCAAAAAACAAAAATACATGTGGCTTCTCTGGTTTTCCTCTTTTCTAGGCTATGAGATTAGACACCAACCCTTGTGTTGAATTTTATGCCAAGTAGCATTCAAGGTTGGTTGCAGTTTTCCATAACTTTAGGAAATGTGATTCAATTTGTAAAAGATTGGCAGTTTGGAAGAATTCAAAAATTTCCATTCATGTGTCAGAAAGAGTTGGATAAAGCCTAGCCCTCATAGAATGACTTCCCAAGACACTAGCTTGGTCATTCTCCATGGCTTTTGCTTATTTTTTTTTACATCAAGGTAATGCATGCACATAGTTTTAAAAAGATACAGTACTGAACAATAT